AAGCATAAACATTTTTAACTGTGATTAGAGAGGAGTAAGTGTGAGATGTTTAAAGCTCACCGTGCGAAAATCCATACCCTCTTTTCATACCACTTCCAGCAGATGCCCAACGCACATGCTCTTGCTCTTGGTCTATCTCCGGGTAATATTGTAACGCAAACTTCTGCCTCATCTCCGACAGCCGCCTATAATATCCCGCTTTATGGACTACCGGGTACTCGGAATTTGTTGGTAATCAGTTCTTTGGAGGAGGTGATAAACCAACGGTCAATTAGTCTCGTTCGGGGATTTATCATTCCATGTGGGAACAGCAATCGTTTTGCAATCCTCTTTCCATCAAACCCTAAACATTTTTGCATTAAATATCTTCTGCATTTTGTTATTAATATAATATTTAAAATTTCACTTCGAGAAATTTTGTTCCAGCGAAATTCGAGGATCACATTTTAAAAATTCAGTTTTTATGTATATTTTTTTTTAACATTCAACATTGTTAATATTCCTTATATATTTCTGGAAGAAAAATTATTATATAACATACATATATTTATTAACGATTTTTCATTTCATAATGGAAGCACATAACTCATGCATTGACTGCAGTTAATGAGATTCATTTGAAAAAATTTCAATGAAAAAATGAGATAGACATAAATTTAATTAAATTTTAATTTTACAACGTTTGTGCAATTAAATTTTATTATGGAATGAGTATAATAAATATTTTTTCCAGTCTTCAGGGTATATTTCTTCAAACACTCAACGACTGTTTAATCTCTTCACCGAACAATCGAAATTATACTTTAGGTTTTGTAAAGAATTAAGTTAACAATTTAAAATATTCAATGAAACCGAGGATTATCGTGATAATGTTAAAATGAGAGCAACAAAAAAATAGCCCAATGGAAAAAACAATGTATATTAAGCGTAAGTGGAATTTCCCAATGTTATTTATTCAGATTAATGGTTTATCATTCCATTTGATAGAGTCAATTGAATCTTGTGCACTTGCACTCACGAACCGGCCACCCATCTTCATTTTAACAAGATATTTCCGTATGTTATATATGAGTATATGGTGTGGTGAAGTACACTGTGACGACATAGCGAGGGGAGTAGAGAGAGAAGGTACAGAGAGAGATACTCAGGCCCGGTTGTCGATGTCAGTACTAAATGAACCATCAGGGTCGCCATAAATTCTCGGTGGACTATCAGATGCACACGCCCGCGGACCTGCGAGCTTGTCCCGGATATAACGAGGGACCACCGCCCAGGGTAAATGGATCCGCCAGTATGAAATTGTCGTGGCCCAATCTCCTACTGACTATCATCACATTCCTCAGGTGTCGAATGATCTCACGTTGGAAATGGATTCTGGATTCTGGATTCTGGATTCTGGATTCTGGATTCTGGATTCTGGCATTATGGCATTATGGCATTATGACATTATGGCATTATGGCATTATGAAATTATGCCATTATGGCATTATGGCGTTATGGCATTTCCATGGGAAATCCATTCCAATCCTGGGATATCGTTAATTGCATTTCTGCATGTGCATGACATCTTCGTGACATCTTCTTGACATCTTCATGGCATCTTCATCACATCTTCATTACATTTCCATGACATTCGACTAGGCATCATCAGTAGTAATCATTAAGCATCGGGACATCATCACATTTATCAGCTGTTGAATGACCTCTCGTTGAAAGTCCACTGGATTCTGGCGTTATGACGTCTCGATGAGGGAACGAGCACAGCTCTGGGATATCGTTAATTACATGAACGAGTTGGGATCGATGCTCGGGCTCCTGTTGAACCCCAGTGAGGGCCGTAGAACCCTCACTTGGGTGAGTGAGTCCGCACTGGTGGAGATGGCATCGTGCACACTAACGAGTAACAAGTGGCGTGACGTTTCAGTTAGGCTCGATTCCTTGGCGAGAACTACCCAGTAGCCACCAACTGCGCCAACCCATCGGCTTCGTATCGGTATGCCACGATGTGCCAGCATCGGCTTCAACCTACTCAACCAACCAGGCTAATTAACTCACCGCTGATTCATTATCGACACCTCAGGGCTCCACTTGTGTCTTCATTTTCTATCCACGTCTCGCAAGGCCGATGTCAAACTTTACCGTTTTTTTTATTTACGTTGTTATTGCTCATTCATTTTTTTACCACAACTATTTTAAACAATCATTTCGAATTATTTTACACTAACAGGATGAAATTCAAATCTATGATTACTCGTTTTTCTGATTGACTGGAATTGTTAAGGAACAATCTTCAAGACGGATTTAGAATTTTATCGATAATTCGGTGAAGTCTCAACGTTTTAATTCAATAATAAGGCGTTAATATTTCAAAGAGAATGATAATAAATTTTCAGGGAATAATGAAAATTTGGAGTCATCAAATTTCCATGATGAAATTTTTGGATATTATAGTAGAATTTGAATAGAATAAAAAAATTTCAAAGTGCATCGGAAATTCCCGGTAAAATGTGCGTACCCGTCGCATAAATCGATAATTAACAACATTTTCAAACTCTCCTTTATCACTTGACTAATAAATTTACACAAAGAAACTACCCGAACTACTGATACCCTTTATCGATATGGAGTGATTATTTGTCGAGGAAAACTTTGCATAACTGCATTTGTTAGGCATTAAGTTAGTTACGCTTAAATGCAAATTGATCGGTTAATCGATCTGTTTTAGACCCTGGGAGCTTCTGGAGTATAATCCGAGTCTCCGGTCGTTGCTCGTCTATTTTTTTCAATGACCCCGTGCATATCTAAAATGACCATTAATTTGCGATCTTTTTACCACGAAAAGTCTACAAATTAATAGTTCTCGCAGTGATTGAAATTATCGAAAATTTCCCGGCAAGGTGATTATGAAAATTATGGTTGCAGATTTTTTTGGAAATTAGCCTCGGTTAAAATATTATTATGTAATATAAAATAATATTATATGATAATATTATATAATATGTAAAATATTATGTATCCCAGATCATAAAATAAATAATAAAACTTAAAAGGAAAGAAAACGATTTGAAGTATTTCGTTGATTTTCATCAGGATGTGCAATTTTTGCATGATCTCCGAAAATTTTCTTGAGATGGAAAATATTTCGGGGAATTAAGCTGAAAATTGAGAAGAGTCTAGGGATCATGTGCTGAAGAGATGTGGAATATCCAGTGGATCGTGGAGAATGCATCACCAGTGGCTTCGATGGCGGATCGCGGGGGTTGGCCTCGGTACAAAGGACTTCGCCGCCTCGTGAAACAGTTTATCGCGCGTTTCAGACTCTCCCCCACTGATTTGTTTTAGAAGAGGCTGAAAATCCTGACAGCACGACAGCCTGTACCACATTCGTCTTCTTCTTCTGATCGTCCTGACGCGCCCCGCATCAAAGGAAATTCCGGGACCGGTGGGAGAGGATCGGTGAATCCTGGACTCTACAAGTAACTCGTCCTGAGAATTTTTGCAAGAAAAATTTCGACGCATGTTTAATGATGTTCCTGATGTTTGCATGACATTTCTTGAACGGAGTGGACGATTCAAGTTTTTCGAATGGTTTTACGAGCGATTAAGATTGGGAGAGAAATTTTACGAACAGGAGGTACCATCCTGCGGAGAATCCCCCAGGTTTCAGACAGGAAAATGGAGGTAATGGAGGGAATTACATTATCAGTCACCAGTACTAATATTTATAGCTTTTCTTTAGTAAAATAAACATCGATCGGAAAGTGTCATAGCGGACAGCATGTTAAAGTGTCATGGGCGCTGAGCCAGATTATGTATATTCATGTGAATTGAGAACATATTTTTTTATGTTACCTTATTTGATCTCAATTTTCGAAGAGTCCCCTAAAAAAAAAGTAAAAAAAAATCTCTCCGGCGGGGAATTGAACCCCGGTCGTCCGCGTGACAGGCGGAAATACTACCACTGTACTACCGAAGACTTGAAAAGTAGATTTAAACAATTCCTTATGAACTTTCCGTATATAATTAAAAAATGTACTTATGTATAAAGGTTTTTTTTAATTACTTATCTCTCAACGCAGGGAGTCATCATAACTATGTGGTGATAAATCAAGACTTAAAAAATGGTTAGATCTGACCATTCTCCTACCAAATTTTACATATGGTTTCAAGATATTATTAATTATTTTATGTGACAAGAGAAATTTGTAAAATTGAATTTTTTTTAAATTTTGCTTTATTTGATCTGTATTTGCAAAAAATCCCCTAATAAAAAAAAAAAAAATCTCTCCGGCGGGGAATTGAACCCCGGTCGTCCGCGTGACAGGCGGAAATACTACCACTGTACTACCGAAGACTTGAGAAATAGTCTTGAACAATTTGTTATAGACTGTCCGTATATAATTTACAATATTTACACATGTATAAGGTTTTTTTATAATCACTTATCTTTTCACGCTTGGAATCATGATAACTATGTGGTGATTGATCAAGACTTAAAAAATGGTTAGATCTCACTATTCTCCTACCAAATGATAGATACGATTTCAAAATATTATTAATTTGGTTTCATGCAACAAGAAAAATTTGTAAAATTAAGGATTTTTTAGAAATTATACTCTATTTGATCGCCATTTTCGAGGAGTCCTCTAAATTTTTAGTAAAAAAAATCTCTCCGGCGGGGAATTGAACCCCGGTCGTCCGCGTGACAGGCGGAAATACTACCACTGTACTACCGAAGATATATTGTCAATATAATTTTGAACAAATATCTTCGCTTCGTTAAAGTAATGAGTTAATGAAGAACATCTTTCCCAAGTTCACTCTGCCAAAGACGCATGCCTTACAAGAAGAGACTGAATGCATTTAAAAACGGGAAATTCATCAACGTCCCGGCCGCTCTTGCGTCACAAATAAAAAATTTCACTTCAATTGATAGAATTAGTTTCATGCAATGAGGCTAGGCTAGTCTAGGAAACGTTCCAGATTTTTACGAATGCTTGTACTGAATTGTATTGAAACTTTATTTCCAAGTATAATCTCGTTGAAAAATTAAATTCTAATGATTTCCACAAAATTTCCAGCTTCCCTGCCGGTGTCGGTTTTTCCTCGCCTCGTCGCCCACTTTTGAGTCCAGAAGTGACAGAATTTTTTTCATTTCCAACGGTCACTGACGATAGTACAAAAATCTTCAAAATTCCAGTCTTCACGGACACTTGTGTGTGTACGTGACTCTGGACAACGCAACATAGCACTTCTTCGTGGACTGGTCCATGTACCCGATGGGGCCGATTTCACAGTCTGCACAGGCTAAATACTTGATGTTCCCCACGGTTTTTGTTATACTGACATTTTCGAATGTGTACATATCCTCGATCAACCAATAATCTGTATATTTTGCCAGTTGACTCTCCACCCCTTCATCCCCTTTACTGCGGACGTGTGGAAGATCGAACTGAAATAACAGAAATGCCATTATCCATTGGATAGAATAAGCTGATGAATGAAATAATTACATCAATGATCTATCTGTTCAACTAATAAATAAGTATTCGGAAAATATCTCTGAATCTAAGGGAAACGTCTAATTGCGATCTTTAAAAAAAATTCTGGATAAAATTTAGCTGTCACGTCTAGATTAAGAGATATTTTTTGAAGTTACCATTGTCACCCTAAGGTTTTCGACACTGATTTAATGTTGCTGTCAACAGATTAAATTGGAAAAGAATATCTTTACCAAAAATAATGATCAATTAAATAGATGAAGTATAAATTGTCTATTTCCTGAGATCTCACAAGATCTAGTTTACCTCGTGCACCAGGAAGGTACCCATTCCAGGATTCAGAATGACTGAAGGACAGAATTGACAATAAATTTTTGATTTATTTTTTCCACTTCCGTCGCATTTGTCTTTATAATTGGATTCCACCGTCGATGACATTATCTCAAAAACTAAACTTACACCCTTCTGTCAGTAATAAATACGCAGTCGAGATCCGGCTCCTTACCTTTCTGGAATAAATAATAACATTAAGACTTGAGTTAGTGGAATCGAGTTTATGGAAATTACGCAGGAATTACCACTGAATCATAAAATAAATTCCTGAATCTCTCGTCTATTATAAATTGCTTTGAGCACTTGTAAATATTCTAAAGTGGGAGGCACTCGATCCAAATGTATCTGTACTTCCAGATAAACATAACCTCAGATTTTTAAAACGATCAGCGAGATCAGTGTCGTCAACAGCAGTCAGGCGACGAGCAAGTTATCATAACCTCATTTTCAAATTTTGTATTTTACTTGGAGAATCTGTCTCAGATGATCAGAAATGTTCTCAACTGTGCGTAGAATTCCTGTAAGCAGATTAGCCCTCTTCGGACTCTTTGATAAATCAGCTGATATAGTGACAACCCCAGGATATGAGGAATTATCACAGAAGTACACCGGCATGACAGCCGTTCGACGAATGCTTACCCCTGAGTAAGTAGACAGTATCTCGACTAATTGAATTGATTCAAGGTGCACTGATTAAATGATTAGTTGATATTCATTTGTTCGAGAGTATTTATATTTCGCATTCTCACGGGCTTCTCAAGTGAACGTTTTGCATCGAATGTCATATTTATTGTAATTTTCCGTAGTCAATACGGAGAGCTTTCTCCAGAATTGGTAACTGCCGTCCACATGAGTGCAACCAGTACTTTAATGGGAATATTATATGGAGCTGTTATTCAGGGGAGGGAAGCTTGGTATGCCTTCATAGAGAACAACCAAGCAACGCAATTTGCCAATCACCTTGAGGCTAAGAAACTCCTGCAGGATAAAGTGACCCTGGCGATGGGCAGAGGAGCCCTGAAATGGGGGTACAGGATTGGAGCATTTTCGACAATGTTCATGTGAGAACCCAGTAATTATGGAATATGGATATTTTTTAAATTAAATTGGCTTAGTAACAATTAACTGTCGAATATCTCTCTCGGATTACCCAATGATTATCTACAACTATAAGCCACCTGTTAAAAACCATTTAATTATTATCAGATTTAATATTAAATTGATGGTTCGAAAAAAAAAAAATTTTTTTTAACTTGTTCAACGACATAATACATTTTGAACCAATAAACATCATCGAAGCACATGTAATGAGAATTTTTAGTTCATTCGACAATATATATTATGATTTATGAATTTATTGCATTATTTGTTTCTTTATATTTGGAGAATCCTACCTGACAATAAGAGAGGATAACGGATAAATTATTAATGATTGGATCATTTTCAGATTTATAAATACGTGCATAGCAGCATATCGCGGCGAACCAGGAATACTCGAATACGTTGGAGCAGGAGTTATAACCGGTGGACTTTTTAAAGTGAATTTAGGACCCAAGGGAATGGTGGCAGGATCCGTCGTGGGAGGCTTTCTCGGTTTTCTCGGTGGTGCTGCTTCTCTAACTCTTCTATATCTCACGGGATATACGATGGACGATATAGAAAAAGTTCAGCATGACATGCACGCCAGTAGAAATGAGTAAGTAATCCACAGGTTAATTAAATTTTTTAATAAACGAAGAAAATGTCTCGACACTAGAAATCAAGTTTCTAAATTCCACAAAAAATATAAATAAAACACAATTATAAGCCAATTAGGATTTTATGTACATTCGATGATGTACGTTATTATTGACCATTTTTTTGCATTACCCACGTTTCTTGTTTTTGGATAATGTCACTGGCCAGGTTATTAATCCATTAATTGCCAAACACTTCATTCATTTATTTCTATTTATCGAAACATGGAAAATTTCCAAAAATTAAAAATGGACACATTCTATTGGGCGTCCACATTACCACGGCAACCCTCAGAAATTTTTGTGAAGTATTGATATGATCATTTTCCGTGATTTTTCATAAACAGTTCAATTTTTTTATGTTGTTATCAGGGCTGTTCGAAATGCGATGAAATATCAATTACTGGATGAGTACGAAAAACTGGAAATAGACGCTGCAAAGAAGGATGAAAAATTGAATCCGTCGTCTCCACTGGATTCTGTTGCTGAGTCTGAATCGCCGACTATCGACGTAGTGCCAGATCCTAAATAAAAAATCTCTCAATAAGAAAATATTTTGTATATACTAGTTTACATGTGCGTATTAGATTAAAATATATAAAAACTTATTGATAATTCTTTATTCTTCTCTATGCTGACTCCAGAATTAGGCGTCTACGTATCTAGAACAATACATTTGAATACAAAATAAACATTCATAGGCTCTTACCATACCTCCCAGAGTGCTCAGAACTCGATTGCGATAGGCCACGACTGTTCAACCGAAAACACTTAAAGTGATTGAAGAGAAATTATCTTAAAATATTCTGAGCATTAATCGTATTATGAATAGCTACCCCCATCCTGCATGACTTATCGAATAGGCCTGATTCTCCTGATATTATCATTTTCAAAATCACGAGATGAATAATAATAAATAAATTAAATACAATCGTGAATTTACCAGAGAAAGTACATTGGCATAATCTCAATAACGTGACAGTCCCTATCACCCTGTTTGTGTCTTAAGACTAATTGATTATCAAATGGACAAATAATATTATGCTTCTTGATTTTCAACTTCTTGGACCTTGGTGATACGTTTGGCGCCTCTTCCAGGTGGGCCCTTTGGCTTAGCAAACTTTGGTCGATGTAAATTGACTTTTGGATGCAACTCCTCTTGCAAATAATCCTCAGTTAGTTCCTTTCCATCATCTATCTCTAGCTACATTCAACAATAATTCATATAAATTATTCTATTGTTTAGGATTGGAGAGATTTTTATAGTGACTAAGGGAATCAGGCCTATTCTGTAAGCTCGCACCTCTTAATTCGTCTACATTACGTACCGTTTCCTTGCCATGTGCCCACAATACCTATAATTATCTAATTTATCTACTATGATGTATAATGACTTCCAGGATATTCAAGTATTACCGCAATTTTTTTCTTAACTAAGAAATTACAATTTTCCTCTAAAGTTAAAGGTTTCCCACAGTTTAATGTCATCTTTTTAGTCCAGGGAAGAATTCATAGAAAAATATTACATTAGTGTGGTAGGACAAGATAAATCGAATTTTACAATTTTGTTAAATGATTCACTCCCAGAACTGTTGATTGTGATTGATTGAAGAAATAGCAAAAAGATGTTCTCATTGGAAATTTCATCACCTACAGAGTAGTCCCGTAATCATTCCACCTCAAAATTATTCTTACGAAAAATGTTAAATGCGACTTATCTCACTTTCCACATCGATGTTAAATACAAATAAAAGTCCATCGATTTTTTTCAATTATCTGGCGCAGTTCAGTAGTACAGCGGTGATTCAAGCCGATTCAAATTCTTTCTGAGTTCTCGAGGAATATCCCTGGATCCAAGGTAGATAAGACAATTTTTTTAATGGCCTTTATTCTCGGTGATAATGAGCTCCCCAAAAAAGGTTCTGATAAAAATTTCGAGATATTTACAGAAAACTGAGAAATAGTGAAAATCGGCTGAACGATTTTACTGTTGACTTTTTGTTTAAAGATGACAATTAATTGTGATATGGTACTTGGATATCCTCAAGTCCTCTTGGAGACGGGAATAACAAAACGAGATTCAATTGCATAATCGTTTTATTGTACACATAGCGTAGTTAATATTGGCAAGATTTACATTATCTTCATGTCGCAAATTATCGAACATACACGAATAACAATGATCTCCACCATAAATCGAGAGAAATGATATATTTTCCTGATTCGGGAGTTGATTATTTATTCTGATTAAACGAAACAAAAACTTACAGAATAGGCCGATGATGATTACAATGTGTTTAAAGTTATGTGGTCATGCACCGAGTTATGTGCGTCAATGTTTTATTGTATTGTTAATAAAAAGAACACAATCGACCAAGTTCTTCGTTTTACATACGGCCTTTGAGCATTCGCGAGGCCTCCATATTTGTTTCTCAATTTTTTCATTTTGTAAAAAACGCGAATAAAAAAATACACGTCGCGAAAAATAGAATGCCTTTCGAAGAATCATCCCAATCCTGACTGAATTTCTAGTTTAATTACTCTCGATTTTATTTTAAAAGTCTGGAAGTATAAAAGAACCGCTGAGAATACAGACAAAATTTATGCCATGAATTCTTCGTCAAAAAAAAATAAAGAGTTCTAATTTTTTTTCAGCTCCGGGAAAATTATTATTTTCACAGAAACAACGAATTTGAGGATCATCTGAGGATAATAAGGAGAAATTCAAAAAGAGAACGTAATGGCATTCGCCAATTTGTCAAAGCTGCAAAGTTTCGCAAAATGAGAATTCCAGCAATTTTTCTCACACTCGAGTTAGTTTTTTCTACTTCCGATGACTCTTAATTATTCAATTTATCCAGGATATGATAAATACAGAGTTAACTCACTCAAATAAAGCAGAATTACCGGGTAAACAATTCGTCACAAGCTGAATTGAGATGATACTCATTAATCAGTCTTGAAGTAGAACGATAAATTTCATTTAAAAAGGTTAACGATATACTGTTGATCAATTTTATTTCGAAATTTCCAAGCAACGATTTTGATAATTCCAGTGAAATCCTTGAATCACGAAACCACTAATTAGAAATTTCCTCTGCAATTTACCAACAGTCTAGGAAAAGACGATGTTCGTCGATAAATCGACGTAACCGATATTTTTTTGAGAAAAAATCGATGTATTCACTTAATGTATTGAGCTCCCGGTAGATCAATTTTGGAGTTGACGATTTTCCAGAAAAATTAAAAGATCTATTTAAAAATCAATCTGATCGATACATTTTTTTATCGACTGTTCATTTAATTAAAACAATTTTTCTCTGGATAAGAACGATTGTTTTTTTATTGAGGGCAAAAAATCGATTTTTTTCCACATCGCTCATTCCCATGTACTTAAAAATAAATCACCTAATGTGCGTCATAACTTCGAAATGAATGAAAAAGCGTAGCAGCTTACGTCGAAAGTAGTAGCCACCATAAAAAAGGAAAAAACAATTCTCAAAAGACAATAAACTCGATAAAAAATAGTAATTAGCGTATTGGCCGTCACAGATCTATACTCTACGATAATAATAATCCTTGAAATATGTATAATAACAGAGAAGTTAGGCGAATGGCATCATTTAGCTAAATCCTACTGGAATAACTGCCCTAACTCTCCAGTAATCACATTGTGGCACTTGACCACCGAAATATACTGATATCCCATTGTAATTTCATCACATTAACGATATTTCTCGATGTAACTCAAATTTTTAGAGTTTAATTTAACCGGCAAGCCTTCTAGTCATCCTCCATTACCTCAATCGATAATTAATCCGACATGCTTACACGTACTTATCACCTTTACACGACTAGGAAACCTAATTTCAGGTGAAATGAATACAGAAATAGCAGTCTCCACATTTCACCATTTAGAGAACCAGATTATTAATATTAATCACAATAGGTCTGTTAATTTGAGCGACAACGAATATTAAAACGAATTAATTAACACAGATCTAAAAACCTAGAGACACTAGGAAATTTCGTAGATAACACAGAACTGAATAGAAGAAAAACATTAACACGTTATTTTAATCCCAGACAAGATGATGGAAAAGTGATTAAAGAGTCAAATTATAATTGAGAATATAAAGATGAAAGAACTAATTCAGTAACGAAGTGGTACAACCAAACAAAACGAATTTGAAATGGTTTCAATCGACTGAACTCGGAAATTATTGATTTCAGATGAAAACACCAAAGGACTTTTTTGTAGCTCATAACATTTTTAACGAAAAAGATCTTATGATACTTCCTCTTGAAATCAATACTTTTTACGATAAATCGATATTTAACAAAACCATGATATTCAACTGGTCTCACATCTCGTTGGAATCATCGTCTAGGAGATAAAATAACGAGTAATCCAAGAACATGGAAAAAATGCTGAAGGCTTGTCCAAAAACGAAGTGAATAATCCCCCAAAGAACTCCTTAACACGTAATCTCAAGTTAAACCTCTAACAACTCGTCATAACGACCACTATCGAAAAGGAATAATCAGCCCCTAAATTAATTAACTGTACTGGAATAATGTTTTTTGTTTTACCACAGACATTGTTCGCCACTATATCGAAAGCTGATTTTCTCGACAATACCAAAAATATCGTTTGCATTGTATAATTGTTGAGTTCAAATACGGTTAATTTAGAAAAATACACCGTTACTACTCTTACTATGCAGGTATACATATCACGTGTCACTTTATACTCTTCTTGTTATTGTGCTCGTACAACTAGCGATCCTACTGGCTTCGATGAATTACTTTCCATCCCATTGACTATGGAAATAAAATGGATCTAGTCCACGTGTGGTCCATTATCAAAGATCGATAAAACACTAGTTCCAAAAAATATTATTCAACGTTTGTATCGCATGTCAATCAACGAATCGAGATTTTTCGATAGCCATTGCAACAGCCTATTTTTTTTTAGGCCTGGTATTGAACTGATCAACCTGTTAACTCAAAACGCAGGAGCGTTTTGGCTTTGATTTTTTATCGGACAATACATTTGGGGGAGCGGAGGGTGTTGATGGGGTCATAGGGGTTGTGTTGCCAGTTGAGTCTTTAACTGGGGGTTCCTCCAGCATGTCGGCTAACTCGTCTCCGGTATTTACCTCCAACTAAGATGGGTTTCATCCCTTATTATAATGGACTTCATCATCACACCGAGAAAATTATTTACTTTCACCAAATATTCATTTACAGTAGAATCCCATTATAGTCGCTCTTGTTAAAGTCCCACCTCACCTCAATCTCTATTTTCGCGTATTGTTCGCGTATTTTTCGCTTCCCCCGCTCTACTGCATTCATCGAGGATCAAAAATGTAAACAATCAATTATTTCGTTCGGCTATGAATGGAATTCCGTAAAAAATAAACCGGAAAAATAAATATCTCTCGTAATTGAAATGCATCTTCAAAAAATTGCAATTTGCAATTAATTAGGAACGAATTCATTATTTGAAATGAAAAAAATAATCGGAAAGATTTTTTAAAACTTGAAAATGAATCAATAACTAGTTTTAATATTTTGAATAATTGTAAATAATATTAGAAATATGAATTGTAATGTTCAATTAAAACTTTTTATAGGAAAGATTTCTTAGGTATTTATCTATTAGGTATATAGATTTGATGTTGTGAAATAACTACGTTGGAAAAATACGATTTTGAAGACCTAATTAATAAGCAAATGAATATTTGTCAAAAGTGAACATTTTCCCGTGCATTGGAAATATAATTTTGTTCTGAACGTCGAGGTACTCAAAAAGAAGAAATAATCGAACGTAATGCCTCGAGTAAGTCTACGAAATGGGGATTAGTCACAACCACAAATGAATCGTGAATACTCATGCTAGGAGCGTTTTTAATTAGAATACGGTTATCAACGTGCATGCACACTCACCTTTTTAGTTATGTTGACACCCAGTGACTGAATGAGATCGAGGAATGGTGCTTTGCACGACGAATACAGCATTCTTTCTTTAATGCTGCAACTGTAGCCAGGCATGCTGTAGATGAACACTATAAAGAATTTCATTTTTTATAAATAACATTTCCAAAAATATCGCAAAAAAAACATTCAGTAAAAACACACCAGTGAAAATAATATATAATAATAAACTGATCACTCATCACTTCATTTTTTTCGAGACCAGTTGTTAGCTCATGTCTTAGAATTGAAAAATTCTAATTTGTCTGGTAATATATTTTTAAATACATTTTTAATTGAAAGATACGAGTTACAAGAAAGTTACTCTCTTCCTTCAATTCCAAGATTTTAGCTAAAGAAAAGTATAATGTAATGTGATGATTACCTATGCACTCCATGTAGTCTCCCTCGTGCGTGTGCTTGAAATTGTAGAGATGATATCTAGCGGAATCAGCTGGTACCTTAGTAGGTAGTTTATCGAGAGAGACATCACAAGCCATGACGAGATGTATTTTCTCTTCATCGAGATCGATTTTCAATTGCACGTACTCGTGTAGGCCCTTTCCCATCTCAGTTATCGCCTGTTTTGCCTCGTCGGTTACGGGAAAAGCCACTCCACTGAGTGTCTGGTGTCTAGTTTCAACATTGTAGTCGGTGTGAATAGCTGTTTTCTTGAGCTCGACGAGCTCCTCCTCGGCGGAGGTGAGTGGTGCCGGGGTGGCATCGTTTTTCTTGTGTCTGTTGTAACCATCGAGGGTGATGTCGTCTGGAATTGTTCCATGGAGTTCGTCCTTGATGGAGGCTGTGCCGAACTCTTGCTTGAGCGTTGCTTTTGTCGATGCGTACAGCATCTTCTGGCGAATTGGGGCAGTGTCTGGGGACCAGGATATGAACAGCCAGTCGTATCCTGAGTCAGGGGATTTTGTGTCCAAGCGGTAGAGGATGTAGGCCGGCTGATTTTCCTCGATCAGGGGCTTCACCAGGCGAGAGTAATCGTCCTGCCATTTGCCCACTGGCTTTGATGACGATGCTGGGATCAGCTCCTCTATTGAGGAGAGCAATTGCAATTGAATCGATGATTTTTGAACAAATTACTGGAGGAATAAGTAGATTAATTTTATCAGGAAATATAATTATAAATTTCCTACGACAAGCATCTGAAATAAATTGTGGGTAAAATAATTGGGAATTAAATGTGAATCAGTTTTTTTTTCCTTCAGAATAAACGCAAGGCGTGATCTACATTGTTCAAGTCGGGAAAAGAAAAATAGCAAATATTTTTAAAATAGAGTAAAATAACGTGGATGACAATGAATAACCAACTCCTGAACTTTTTATAATCTTGTTAGTTGACGATACTTCTCTAATTTTTTGTTCCACCTTCTATTTTTAATTGTTAGTTCGACGCTCTTCAGATCTTTACTCATTGATTGAGGAATTAAAATTCATTTCCTCCCATAGCGCATACGTCATATCGATGACCATGAATGACCAAGATTTGAAGGGCTTCACTTATTCCTTATTATTTATGTATTTCGTTAATATATTTAATTGACTTCCTGCTTCATTTTCCATTTTCAGTTTTCAACTTCATTCATTGATTCGTTTATTTGTAATTTCGGAATGGGAGAGATGTTTTTTTTTGTGAGAGCTATGGGTTGAGAAAAATCCACATGCCTACAAATTAATTTCGTTGGAATCTTTCTCTCCCGTTGTAAAATTCCAGAGAATAAAAATTCACCATTTAAAAATAACTCAAAGAACACTCTGGGAATATTATTATCCAAGCTCGGAGGCTTTCAAACCAATAAATAGACTTGCAAATTTCATCTGGCTTCGATCACTCACCGTTTTCGATAGAGATCTTCAGCACCCTTATTTTCCCATCCCGACATTTGGCGAACAATTTCTTCAACGCATCATTGGCTGAAAATGACAGATAACTGGATTAATACATGACTGATAACATAGGAGTGGCTGGAATTCCAGTCTTCGAGGTTAACTCGAGAAGTCGTAAATTTCACTGCTAAATCACAGAATTGGCAATTGAATTTTATTTATTACCTTTTATTCCAGTTTGATGCGACATTTCCCAAATGAATTCCTTCGCCTTGACTGATATTTATGCTCCGATTACTTCTCTCCTCGACAAACAAGTTGCTAGCGACGAATAGCACTGAATTCCGTACTTATTTCTATTTCCAACAAAATGGAAATTTGGCCGATCTCCAGAAGAGCCAATGGCGGTTCGTCACAGAGTGGCTGGAGGCTGTCGTTGGTGGGACTAGAAATGTGCAATGACCGTCATTTTTCCTCTCGGTCATGTTACTCATAAATTACCACTTCCGGACCTTTTTCTCATCCTCATTTCATCGTAGTACTGCTATCGTAGAAAGCAATCAACTAATAATCAAAACTGGGAATAAAAATGCCATAGAAATTCCTTGAACATCAAAAATAAATTTAGTTTATTCCCTGAACACAAAAAAAAACTATATAAATATTTATCTTTGAAATGTAAGAATTTTCGTGCAATTAGGAAACTGCTTACCAAAAGTATTTTAGTTTTTATTTTCCTATTTTCCTATTCTGCTCATACGGGTCAGATTCACGGTGCAAAAATGACTGGTTATTTGACAGGTAATGTTCATTACATTATGTGTGCGCATGAGCAGTTGGTCATCTGCTTGCCACACGGCTTCCACGTATGACAGGCCAACCCTAACCTGTAGCCTCTCAAAAAACATCTCCGAGAAAAACATTGAGACATTCATCAGTAAATTATTACAAAAATAAGTAAAAGATCGTGGCAAAATGGTATCAGTGCTCAATACCGTTGATACAGGGCACGAGGACATGATCCACGATGCCGAGATGGATTATTATGGCTTGAGATTGGCCACTTGCTCCAGTGACAATTCGGTTAAAATATTCGATCTGAAGAACGGATCACAGAGCCTCGTAGCCGATCTAAAGGGTCACGTTGGACCTGTCTGGCAGGTTGCCTGGGCCCATCCCAAGTTCGGAAATATCATTGCTTCCTGCAGCTATGACAGGTGAGTCGAATGAACCTTCACCTGCTTAAGGACATTCTACAACTATTCCGCCAAAATTCATGTGTTTTTGTTCATTCTTTTGAAAAATTTATGATGAGATTGACGTGACCAACCCCATCGAACTATTTAAACAAAAATTTCGTTTTTTCATTTATTTTCAGTATTAATTGATAAACAAAATATTTCCACCTGTTGCGTTTCAGGAAAGTAATAATCTGGAAGGAGCTCGGAGAGTGGACGAAAATATACGAACACATAGGTCACGACTCATCGGTGAACTCGGTGGCTTGGGCACCCCATGAATTCGGCCTCATCCTGGCTTGTGGCAGCTCTGATGGTTCCATATCGATTTTGACCAACAGTGGAGACACATGGGATGCCCAGAAAATTCCTAATGCCCACACCATCGGGTGCAACGCTGTCAGCTGGTGTCCAGTGGTAGAACCGAGCAATGATGCTATCTCGCAGAAGGGAGGAGCTGTCAAACGATTGGCAACTGGGGGTTGCGATAATCTCGTCAAGATCTGGAGGGAAGAGGGTGACAGATGGATCGAGGAAAATAAATTAGAGGCACATAGTGACTGGGTTAGAGATTTTTCAATTATTAAATAAGTTTCAATCATAAAGTGAGAAAGAATGAATTCTTAGTTTCCTTTTAAATACCAATTGTTATAAAAAATCATTGGTTTTAGGGACAAATAAAACAATTGCATTGCAAATGCGTTTATCCAAATTCAGCACTCTGCTGCTGAATTAAATCAAAATGTCTTTGAGTAGAATAAATACCGACTAATCACATGATCATCACCAACAGGTGCGGGACGTGGCGTGGGCACCAGCAGTTGGTCCCTCTCGTGCCACCCTGGCTTCCTGCTCCCAGGACCGTCGAGTGGTTGTCTGGACCTCGACAGACTACTCCACCTGGACGCCAAATGTTCTGAATGTCTTCGAGGATGTGATTTGGAACGTTAGTTGGTCCTTGACTGGTCGCATCCTCGCTGTCAGCGGTGGTGACAACAAAGTCTCTCTCTGGCGCGAAAACTCCGAGGGCCAGTGGGCATGTATTTCCGAACTCAACAAGGGACAGGGAAACCTTAACAGCGCTGATCAACGTGTTCTCTAATTAATATTACAAATAAAAAATGTATCATAATTTCCGAAGGACTTCTCCTAACTTATAGTTTAAAAATATCCACGTGGATCGAATTTTTTAAGTTAGACTTTTTCTATCAGTACATAAAAATGAACTCGTCTTCATTTTTGTAAAAAAAAAAAAAGAAATGCTTTTCGTTGTTAAGCCTCATTAGAGGGAAAAGTAACCAGAGAAGACTTCAAGAAATGAAATTTCATTAGAAAATACGAGAATGTAATCCATCAATCTCGTATAGATATTTTGACTCATTCACCGTCGAAGATATATTTTCAATTCACCACTGTTTTCGTATTTCTTATTTCTATTGTACAAATAAATTCGCCTTGATTTTTACAAGTTAGATGAAAAACAAGCGGTTTTCAATTGAAATTCATTGGCTCAATACGATAGTTAATGCAATAACTTCCTTCACTCTTCCTTCACTCTGTCGAGTACGTTTCAGCTACTGAATGTAACTGAAAGAACTCCCATTTTTTTTTACAAATAAGAGACTTTTCGTAATTGAATCTCGCTAAAGGGACACATTGCACGAAAAGAAGAAAATGCGAAAATTTTATCAGACAATACAAGAACATCAAACTCAATTTTATTACAAAAAGTTTGATTCATACACCCTTGAAGTTCAAATTTCCATTATCCACCGTTTTCGTATGTGTCCTTCTTATTATGCAAATCAACTTGCCTGGGTTTTCACAAGTAACATGAAAAATAATCACTTTGAAAATCAATGAAAATTTACAAGACCACAAAATCACGAGCATTCACTACTGAGTATACAAGGACGGAGTAAAAACGATATCTCTCTTGATTGCAGTGGAGGCTTCCTCCATTTTCTCCTTGAGAACCGTCTCCCCGATCCTGTGAGCAGCAGTTTTGATGTCCTGCAGAGTATCATTTAATTGTTGAATGCACCTAACAATAATCCCCTCCTGGACGTCAGTGAGTTCCATGATTTTAGCGAAGGATTCATCTCTGGCCCACTCATAAACCACTTCAACAAGTCCAAAACTCAGAGCATCAACAGGTTCGACACCATAACAACACTCTCGCTTCTCGATATCACTTCTCACCTCGTCGATAATTTCGCAGTGCTTCTTGAGTACCGGTAGATTGATGTCAAGTGCTCGCTTATCCCTTGAATCGGATTTCCCCTGGAAAACGAGTGCTGATATGAGTGCTGCAATTTCCGCTGGCTGAAGATTGGTCAATATGTTCCTGTAGATGATCTCAGTAAGAAGAAGTTCATGAGTTCCCATGTCCAGAGCCACCCGACCCTTCAACGTGATCCTGTCATCGGTGTCGATGTACCCCAACTCCTTGAGAACCTCAACTCTACTCACATACTCAGGGTATAGTGCCATGCTCTCATCGCTCAACTGAAAGAGAAGATCCCTGCGTCTTCTCTCGAGCTCTTTCCTGGCAAATACTTCCTCGAAATGCTCCGGGAGATTCGATATCTCTGTCACCTTCATGTCCTGGATCTGTCGGTGGAGCCTCGTGAGATACTGAGTTCTCTTCAACAGCTCAGGATCGGAAACAGAGGCCTGGACGTAGGGCTGTAGGACTTCCGGTCTGCTAACGGCCATCAGTGAAAGCACGTTCAACTCATTAATGGCAAGCTGACAGGTCTGGCTTGGTGGATCATTCTGGAATCTCGATATCTGCCTCTTCAAACAATCAGCGAACACCAGAGCAGGGTCAGCATTAACACAGCAATTGGTCACTTCGAGAATATTTTCAGCTTGAAGTACCAAGAACTCGTGAGAGGGCACTCCCTCAGGCACAAAAATTGTTTTCTTTGTGAGTGCTATAATCTTGTACCAATTATCCGACTTCTCCTGCGCCCCACGCTCTGACGGATTGCTCAGAACCAAAACCCCGTATTCAGTGATCTCTCGTTTCTGATTAACGTTCAGGAGAACCCCCAGCTTCCTGTAATGGTGCCTATACGACACAATCAGTAGCCTGCCAGGACACATGGCCTTAAAAACCTTCTTCGTTGCGAATAAATGAGGGCCGAGGTATTTACACTCCTCCACGTACTCCATCCCCAGTGTGTAGAATTGCGAAAGTTGCTTCTGCATTTGGTCCTCCGCAGGCATCTTGGCAATCGCCTCCTCGATCTTCTTGAGTTCATCCAACCTTTTATTCTTTCCAGCAGTGAATGAAGTCTCCTTGAAGGATCTCCTCATCATATCCTCGATGCTGACTGACTCACTGACTCGGCGTAAATTCAGTACCATAGAGTAAGTTATCTTAAATTGCGACTGGAGGTTCTGGGGCTCTCCACACATCATCGCCTTAAGATCGACAACAGCTGGTACCTCAGTTTTGCACATGAGAATAACTGTCCCCACTTTATCGTGACCACGTCTGCCAGCACGCCCTGCCATCTGAATGTACTCAGTGGGCAATAGTGCCCTAAACTGCCTGCCATCGAATTTTCTAACCGAGTCGAAGACAACAGTACGTGCTGGCATATTGATCCCCATGGCGAAAGTCTCAGTGGCAAAAAGAAGTTTAACAACTCCATTCTGAAACAGGAGTTCAATTATCTCCTTGAGAATTGGAAGAATTCCACTGTGATGAACGCCAATTCCCCTCTCGAGAAGTCTAGCCATACGTTTCACCTGGGGTAATTGCTGATCAGACTCATTAAGCCTTTTGATACACTTCTTGAAGAAGGCTCTGACGTGGCCCTTCTCAGTCTCAGTGGTGAGATTCACAGAGACAAGGGCATCGGCATTGGCATCACACCTGTTCCTCGAGAGAGTGAATATCACCACTGGGAGCTTGTCCTGCTCCCTCAGGTAAGCGATAAATGCCTCCCACATGGTCTTCTCCTGCGCAGGCGACAGGTGTTGCCTCTTGTTCGCCATCGGTGCATTTTTGTTATTCTTGGTTTTGGCCTCCTTGAGGGTTTTAATTTTGTACCAGTTGTCGAGATTGAACTGGCCATCACCATCGAGCACCAAGAAAATGTTATTGCTGGTTTTGCCATTGGTACCACCATACAGATAGTGCTTCAGAGGTACTGGGCGTTTCAGGGTGCTTATCACGTACATTTTTCGTTTCTTTATGTTCCCCACCCAGTTGGCGAAAATCAGGGGATTGGGAACTGTCGCTGAGAGCATCACGATGTTGACATTTGGAGGCAGAAGAATGACAATCTCCTCCCAGACGTGCCCTCGACGCTCGTCGTTAATGTAGTGCACTTCATCGAAAATCACGTATTCCAGGTCCCTGAGGACCTCTGAGGCGTTGTACAACATCGTCTGGAGGATCTCAGTCGTCATTATCAAACAGTTGGCTGCCTGATTGATCTGCATATCCCCAGTTACAAGGCCAACGCTCTCGAAGTGCTTGTTTCGTTTGAAGTCACGGTATTTTTGATTGGACAGGGCTTTTATTGGCGACGTGTAGATTACTCTCGTCATATGACGCTGGGACAGGGCTATCGCGTACTCTGCCACTGTTGTCTTTCCTGCTGAGGTGTGGGCTGCAACGAAAACGTTGCAGCCTTCCTCCAATTTTATTATCGCCTGCTTCTGGAATGTATCCAGCTCGTATTCGAAGGTTATCGCTGGTTTGGGAACTTTTCTATCAAAATCGGATACAGCGACTGAGACGTCCAGTTGCTCTGCCCACTCGGTTGACATTCGCTTTGGTTTTTCTATGAGTTTTAGGATGGGAATGCTCGAATCGTCCAATTTCAGAGCGTCCAGGCGATCTATCGCTGTGTCGTCGATGACCTCTTTGACGGGGTCTCCTTCGGGGGAGGGCTCTGACCAGAAACCCAACCGGCTCTCCTCGTCGTGCACCATCGCCATCAGGTTCACTTTGTTCAAGGGCTTTGCATTCACGTCTTTGGGTTTTTTTTTCTTTTTTTGATTTTTTTCATTTGCAGTTTTTATGGTGTAGTTGTCGGCGGCAAACTCCACACCTTGTCGGAATCCCTTCGCCAGGGTCCGCAGGTTGTTCTCGAAGTCCAAGTCCATCGCTGTAGGGAGTGTCTTCAGTACTTCTGGCTCGTCAAAACCACCGGGCCAGAAGGGGAAGTTGCTGGAATTCCCTTGAACACCCTCCATAGGGGGGCCAGGAGCTCGCGTCATGGACATGGAATTTTTGGCGTTCTCCCCAGCCCCCTGGAGAATATCCTCTCGCATGCCGCAGATGCAGCCGGTAATGGGATCTCTGTCGAATTTCAGAGCTGTTCCCACAGGTGAAAGATCGAATTCTAAGAGGGCCAGGGTGTCCGGCTCACGAGGCCAGTAGAGCTGGACATTTTCCACTTGGTGGATTGGCAGTCTCTCCGGACATTGTATGTATTCCTTCAGCTCATCTGTTATGTCTGATAGAATCGGAGGAGGTCCGAAGGGCAGCTAAGAAATATATTTGTTCATGAAATCACGTTGAATTGCTCCAATTCGGTGACAAGTCCATTTGTTCCTTATTCAAGTTTTGAATAAATATATCCGAATGAATATATTAATGAATTACTGAATTAATTGATGTATGAATTATTTTTAGTCAATTGTTGGATGATTTGAAATATTTTTAGGACAAGAATAAAATGAAGAATAACTGAAATTACTTTTTATTCCATGGTATTCAGTAAATTGTAATTTTTCGCGAGTCATAAATTGATTAGAATAACCTCAATGATAGCGGTAATAAACAATTAAATAGAATAGACGCACGTGGGTTTGAGAATTCTATTACCTCGAGAGGAACTTCATTGGCAGTTGAATTCATTATGCAAAATGTGTACTGTGTATCTAGCAAGATTAATCCTCAGTTTTCCAGGATTGACATTTGTATATTTTTACTCCTTTTCGGAAGCGGAAAAATAAAAAACAATGAGCGCCTGCTCCGATAAATATCGATATACCCAAAATATCGAATAGTGTGTATATCTATCAAGGCGGTGAAGTACGATGAGTCGAATTCAACATTTCCTTTAATCACCAGTTTATCTTTTCATTTCAGGTAAAAAAATTCAAGAAATTTTTTATAGATAATTGAATTTACCATAAACGGGCTTTTGATTGTTTTATTAAAGCCGGTAGTTTTTTTAATCATTTCGCATTTTCGTCGAAAGAATATAAAGGTCGATATTAAATATCGAAAGAGAAATTGAAAATATCGAACAGCTGGACTCCAGTAGCCAAGATGGCGGCTCTCGTGAAAGCCGTGCGGCTCTCTGGAGCTGTTTCGAATATTTCCACGTTATTCAGTAATTTATCTTTGTCAGCTAATTCCAGGATTTTTTCGCCATCGGTTTCACTTATTCCAAGGTAGTGAAGATAATTTTTTTCCAAATATTTGTGTTATCCTACCGGTATCTGGGGACATACAGGCAAGAGAGGTTATGTCGATTCTTTTGGAGTATTTCATTTTTCAATAATTAATTTTAATTTTTACCAGGGATTCAGGCATGTGAGATTTGTCAATTAAATCCAGTTTACCCACTTTTCAAAAATATGTACAAAAATCGTTAACTGAAATTTTCGTTAACATTCACTGACCAAAATTCAAAATGTAAATCAATAGAACCGTCTGTTAATCTTTTAGAATAAATTCACATGATCCAAGAATTTTCTTAATAGGAAAAATTATTGCTTTTCGAATTGGAATTGAAACATGAAAATTTTCGCTTCCATAATTTCCATGATATTTAAAATTCCAAGCAATTCTCGTTAATTCCCGTTAATTATCGATTCCAGAATATGTTTGCAAAATTCATACAGCACAAAACCTCCTCCGGATCCACTTATGGAATTTTTTGACGATAAGAAGAACTGGGGGCAGAAAACTGTGAAAACAGGGCGTTCATGGAAGATGGATGAATTAAGAATAAAAAGCAATGAAGACCTTCATAAATTATGGCAAGTGTTGACAATTTAGATGTCAACATTATTCCTCTGTTTCTCCGAATAATTAGATCATAAGTCTTTCTCTCATTAATTATTCAGGTATATTCTACTCAAAGAGAGAAATATGCTCATGACCATGGAGCACGCACATGTACAGGAATACCAGTATTTTCCAAATCCTGAGCGAATTGATAAAGTGGAAGAGAGTATGATGAACTTGGAGAATGTGGTAAGGGAGAGAAATCAGGCCTATCATTATCTCGAGACTGGGGTCCATGGCGAGAGGCCGATGAAACTTGTTAGGGATCAATTGGGTGAATATTAATGACAATTTTATACCTTAAATATAACAAATATTCTCACATTATTCACAATTCGGCTCGTTCCATGTAATAACTTCTATGTCATAATCCAATTATTCAATAGCATTGAAAGAATCTGACAAAAATTCATTCAATTTCGAATACGTAACTGTAAAAATTCTCCAATTACATTATATTATTAATTCCATTTCAAGGAACAAACGAATGAACTCCACAGTATTACGCGTGAAAGAATAAGAAGAAAATAAACGTACTGAGATATCATTAAAATTTCTTTCACGTACTTCTTCATACCCATAACTCTGTGAACATCGTCTGCATCTGTTACTTTATTACTCTCGTTAAATTCTATTGTTTTTCCAGGATTACGGCGCTGGTACAAGATGTGTCAACACGCAATTCCAAAATACCTCAATGGCAGTTACCGTAAGACACATATCCACTTCCATGGCGGTTTTGCAGTCAGAAAATTCCTGCGGAAATTCAACGAGAAGATGTTTCTTGCTAGACGCACCGAACAATCGTCAGTATCTGAAAAATATCCTTGTAATTTTACTGAATAATCAAAATAATTAATAATTTCTCATTGCAGTCGACAAGCGGCGACTGTACGCAGGATATTCCGAGTATTTCCGAATGTCGATATTGAGGCTGTTCGAGAGAAGTATCCAAATGTCGATGTTGATAAAGCTAGGAAGTCTGACCGATCTAGAGCACATTACGTGTTCCCCAAGTCTGACTCTTCACCGTAATAAACACCTTCCTAAAACAGCCCCTTACCCCAATCATTAAAACAATAATTAAGAAATAAAAGGTAAAACGTCGAGTGTAGAACGAGAGCTACAGAAAAGGTTTCCACGAAAATTTCGCCATTTCTTTTTGGTTTAGGCATATAATTGACTTATTATACTTTATCTCTTCGCTAAAAGAATGAATTCCTGCAAACAAGAAGGAAATTAAAAATCTGAAAAACTCCAGAGATAGCCCTCCAATGTAAATAAACAGTGAAAAAAAACTAATATTCAAGATAAAATTGCGTTTTATTCACCTGACTAGCTTGTACAATTCATTTTTGGTAACTATTTCACGTGATGTTGTTATATAATCAAACTGAATTCTCCAAAGAACCCCTTCGGCTGTCGAAAATTGTGTTTTTATTGCCGTGAAAACGAGAGCAACCCATTCACTTGCTGTTATGGAACCCGAGTGCTCGTTCACACCAATTACATCGTTAAAAAAAAAACCAATGGAAAAAAGAAAAAAAAATAACAAAAAACGATAACCGTTAGCTACAATATATACGTTCACACAATTCATATAAATCACAATTGATCCAATATTTTAAATACCATGAAGTAATAACTTTTATGTGTACAATGGGCTTTATTCTTTCCATCTCTACGCACTACCGCTTCTATCACAATTTTGCAACAGCTGCATTTTACCATTAATTTTCATAACTTTTAACCTCCCTGCCCTCCTCCCCTTTCGCCGGTTATTCACAAATGAATAACTGCATGAAACTGTCAAAATTAAAAATAATTGCGGTACAAAATAGAGTAGCTCTAGCAAAAATAAAATAACACGACTATATTAAAATTAACGATTAATGAGCAACGTAAGCATAAAAATTGCCTCAATTATCATCTCCAGCCATCATTAACGTTCATTGAAGCACCACTCCTCACAATACACAATATCCACAGAAAATGAATATTTATTTCACCTCGAAATTAATTACATAAGAAAATACTCGAATAAACTCATTAATGAATTCAGTAGCGAAACCATTGATCTGTTTTCAATAAATACCTCGGAATGTAGGGCTGATATCGAAATGCTTGTAATTACATTTTTTGCGGGTCTAATGGAGATCTACAAAAAAGATTCGGCAAAAATTTTCATATCTCCCTTAAATCTGAATATATTTCTCGAAAAATCAGGAGAGGAGACGTAAAAAGTTGTACCGCTTCGCTACTGATTGAATAATTTTCGTAATTTATGTATCGAGTGGTCTTTCGACGTACCAACATTGTCAAGTAAATGAAGAAGAGAAAGTGGAGGTGACACTGTTATTTTCTTTCTTATTTTCCCTTGATCACTCGATTTCGTGTCATCTTCCGTTTTCATAATGCAGATGCTGTGTTATTTCATCAATTCTCGACACATTCTCTCTATTATGTTGATTATTGTAGACATCCATACGATTATAATCGTCCAATTACCAATGGATCATATCCTCCATTGCTCAACAGTCTTTCCATCATAAATTAATTTAATCACGTTTATAAATCTATGAGAAAAATTTTAAGAATACGAATATATATGTTTATATTGCCCCTGACTTAATAATCTCTATTCCTTATTCTTTCTACTCCTCTCCTGGTTGAGTAAATAATATCCTTCATAATCTCAGGGCTTTCATATATTTTTATTTCACTTTAAACCCCTGCGCAGATGATTATATATTGCACCAGCTTCGCACTCAAATATATATATTATATATATATATATATATATAGCTACGTCGTAACTATGAGATCAGAAGAGCCCGGGTATTTTCAAACGTTTTTTTTTTCCTTAGTTTTTACTCTGAAAATAACTCCTTTTCGTTTATTTATTTGCTTACGATGGAAATAAAGAAATATTAAGCCACTCATTTTTATATTGTTGGAAATGAGTTTCAGTGATATGCTGCCAATATATTTGAGGAAAGTCATTTTTCTGGGCTCTCCGCGATCGCAAAAATCAAACAGCTTTAATGATTAATTTATTGTTGGGATGATTATATAACGATTAGTCGACTCACTATTCCGTCGATACTGGTAATAAGTGTTTCCATGCGTATTCGAGATCTTTACTAGCATCTGAGCATCTTCGATGGAGTTTGTTCTCCGGTGGAAGCGTTACCATGGGAAATTCACCCTGTGGGGTCATAAAAATTCATATCAACGTAAGTCTCTCGCTCTTTTTCTCTCTGCTCACTTCCTATTATCTCAAATATCAATGAAAACTGACGATCCTTTTAAAGGCACCTCTGGAGAGAATAGAGTTCAATTCACTTCACGTTTATATTTATTCTACTCACCAAATTTGCGTCAGCCCATAGTGTTTCTAATACCTCTCGAAAGGCGCAAAGCTCAGTGTAATTCGTAAAATATATCACCCAATCACCGCTGCTCTCATGAACCTCCCGACAAGCAAATTCCTTTAAAAAAGAAACAAGACTAACTAATGAAATTCTAATGAAACTCCAGCGAACTATTTCAGGGATATTCAAGTTTGTTTTACGGTTGAGTACGGATTATCCTATAAATTCTGCGTTTTTCAACCACAAAATAGGCCAATTAAAATGAATTGAGGAATAAAATTAATTTCTCGTGTTTATGACACAAGAAACTAATTAATCTGCTCCCTGTAAATTTCAGCCATCAATTTTCAGGTAACATTTTATGAATTCCATTTTTTTTTCGACAAATGGCATAACATTTAATTTTCCCCGGTTACTACTATTATTGTTATTTTCAATTAAAAGTGATGCGACGAGTTCAACTCTCCGCTGACCTGTTCAAGTCCAATTATTATTGATTTATTTGTCAAATGTATACACACAGAGGGGAACGTTAGCTATTTATTAACAAATACAGTAGACTCCCGTTATAGTCGTGTGCATGGGGCTGTAGGGGAAGCAAATTCGGAGAATTGGATTATATGCAACTACCCGGACTAAAACTGAAAACTGTAAACTGAATTTTTTTATAGCAAATTTCAATACGACAGAAATGTATTTTTCGGCTTTATTCCACCTGGAATTAAATTCCTTACCGGACAAAAAAATAGTATGTGGGAGAACCGAAAAGGTACACGAAAAAAGAAATTAGAAAAAAACGTACGACTAGAACGGGATTCTACTATAAATTAATCCATAATAATAAAAACTAGCATTCATAAATCACTAACCGGACATGCGCGCTTTACCACAATAAAGATAAACAAAAGTACTTGAATATCCCGAAATTCCTAAGATTCCCGGAAAATTAATTCTCTCTATTTATCTAAAATTGCTCGCCATGGAGAAATAAAAAGGCTCATTCACATAAAAACCCCAATAAACGATTTGACCCGGAAAATAATGGGAGGACTTACCAAAATACACCAGGATTGTTGTGCCAGGGGCACCCTAAAAGCGGTAAGATCCTCGACACTAGCGCAAGATAACGTCTGTCCCCTCTGTGTCCCAGGGAAAACTTCCTTCATAGCGACAAGATGGTTTGTTGTAGCAATAAGACTACACGGCATGGGGCTGCTGGTATCATTGGTGTCAAAGAGCCCCGAGGCACTCTGCACAAAACTCTGAAGCCACTCGCTTGCCACATACTCATCCGGTGCGGCAAACTGAAAGGACTTATTCGGTTTGAGTAGAATTTCAAACGTATGAGGCCTGTGTGAATTGGGTATTCGCCTGCAGCCCTGACACAATCCCCCCTTTAGTGGTATTGCGCGTTTTGGTAGTCTCTGGCTTGAATCCGTGAACATGTAAACAACACCACCTTTGAGAACAAAATAGCCAGCCTCCCACGCATTGATGGGTGCATTGGGATGTGCCTGATAAGAGTGCGGTCGAAACATAAGATCACCCTCTTTGGTTGGGCCGCATGGTGTACTAGGAGGTGATATATGATCATCCTCAATATAAATTAAACTGTAGTGCTCGATCTTTTCATCGCGGTGCACAGCAGTTTCCGTTAAAATAGAGTACTTCAAGCTGTGCATATCATCGTAACTCAACTCCTTAACAGCTGGTAAACGTGGCTTTGATGGTGACCTTCTCATGGCCATTTCCAGATGTGAAATCAACTCAGACGTCGTCTGTGAACTACCCGTCGAGAACAAGTACTGCATCTCGTAATCGGCGTTTGATATCAAAATCGTTTGTGCATTAGGACCGATCATAATAACATCAAGCTCATTGTACGGTATAACAAATTGATTGCTGTAGCTGTTGTCGGCCTTTGTACCAGTCAAGTACAGAGTTTTGTCGGTCAACAGGGCAAGCATTGGTTTACTGTCACCATTATTCATGTACGAGCTACGTACCTTGTACACTTTGTACAATTCCTCGGTTTTGTCTCTGTAGATGTAGCGCTTGAAGATTTCACGCAACTTGAGGCTTATTTTTTCACCACTGAACTCCTGCTTCTCAGCGACAATATTCTCCTGTATCTCCTTCTCCAAATTGTCGTTGAAGTCCTTGAATGTATCGTAATCGGCGGACACCCCTTTGATGTACAGATTGCTTGATTTTGGTGTTTTTTTATTCTTCTTCACGTCGAATTTCCGTTCGGTTATTGATCGTAAGAATCGGCTCAATAACGAGGTACTCGAGGTGGCTGGGCGCATCGTTGAGACACCGAGTCTTGTAGTGTCACTGGGCAGCACAGATGTCACGTTTCGCTTCTTCAGGGGTGACGACAAATGGCGAGAGCCACGACGCTCATCCAGATCAGTTGATGTTGTCATACTATCGACGTCGGACCAATCACTAGAGCTCGTGTACTTTAAGTTCCTCGGTGGCGTTGGACTGTCCAATTTCACTGGCGAATCTTCAATGATGTACCCACATTTTTTCTCGACAATGTACGCCTCCTGCGCTTCATTCTCCTCGAGTTCAATCTCCATCTTAGGCTTGAAACTCATACCAGGGTCCTCCTGCCCCTCTGGAACTCCTCGCTCTGACATCGACGGCCCACACGTGCACCTAGAATTCTTTAAGCATATGCCACGATCGCAGATGTTCATAAGGGACTTGCCGCAGTCGCTATCGAAAATACTTCCCGATGATGACGACGAGTAGTAATCAGAATTGGCATTTCTCGTGTTAATGGCTTTCTGGACGTACGGGGAATCTCCGTTGGCGCACCAACTGTACCGTCCCTTCTGTGCGTCCTTCTTCTGTACTGAGTTTGGAGGAACAAAGCTCATGGAGAAATCGGCAAAATTCTCATCATCATCTAGCTTCATCGTTTTGAATATATCCTCGTGGAAGCTCACTCTCTTCTTGGTTTCACCTCGTTTCTTCTTCCTCTGGCGACGCTGGACAACGGCCTCTGATCCAGATGACGATAGAATACTCGTATCTGTCATATTTATGGTATTGAGAATGCTGTAAGGTACCGGTGCGTTACAATCGCAATCCGAAATTGTCATGCTGAGCTCCAATAAATTTGTATCGTTGTTTATAACGTAAGAATTACGCGAGTCCATGTTCTTCTTGAAGCTATATCCATCAGCGTAATAACTACTCCGTTTACTGTAATCCTTTGATGCATTATCAACGTCATTGTTGACTTTATCGAGACGTGATTCGTCCAAACTTTTGCTGTAGATGTTGTAATCCTTCAAAGTATCTAAACTTGAGCAGTTTAACTCGTTATCGTCCAACTTTGTCGTGATATTCTGATTAGCAATGTCGCTCTTAGTCATTGCCACGTGTTGAAACTTGGATTTTAGAGCGGGCGAGTGGACGGGGGTCTTGCCCTCTTCGCTTGAATCACTTGAGGAGAACGAGCGGTCTAGGCTCTTGTTGTCCTGGGGGCAGGTCATTATCGATTTGTATTTGGTGTTGCGGTATTTTGGCGTCTCCTCCATCGAGTAGTCCTCCTCTTTATAGCTACTTGCGTCAGTTTCGTTGGCACCTTCCATGTCACTGTCTAGTGCCACTCCACTGTCGCCTGGTGAGGCCAGGCTTGAGGTTACGCTTGAGGAACGCAGGTGTAGAGACAGTGCTGTTCCCGAGGGAGAACCACTCATTGGACGCTGGGGCATGTAGTTGCATATGTCCAAGTATGTCACGTCCTGGAATCCAGGTTTTTGAGTGTTAAGCTACTTCGGCAGTATCTTTTCATGTGAAATATCACGTAATGTCATAATCACATTGTTGACTCTATTTCGCTGTATAATGGAATACTATCTATATATATTTTAAAATAAAATAACAATGGGTAAAGAAAAGGATTTTCTTACTTTCAGAAAAAACTCGTTTATTCAAAGAAAATTGTGAGCTATCCTTTCCTTTCAAATAAGGAAGCCTTTACCTGAATTAACTGAAGAGGCGTAATTTTTAGAGAGACAAGAAGGTTAAGAGCGAGATTATTTAAAATTAAAGGATTTTTTCTGTGAGTAAGGAATCTTCTTCGGTGTGGATGTTATTCACTCGAAGATGTGGAATGGAATTTCTTAATTCAAGTCTGTTAAAAAATTGTAAAGAAAATCTACATTGAGCGTTATTTGAGGAGAATGTTCAAAGAACATTATTATTTTTTAACATTTGTTTCTTATTTGCTTTGGCTTGCTGTAAAAAATGGCGAGCTACTTCGATATTCTTAAACCGTTATTCAAATCACAAGTTCAATCACTTCCACAAACTGCATCACCCGCGGGTTTTCCATTTGACTGATACCGATGAATTATTAACATCAACTTGTTATTCAGTTCATTTAAAAACAGATAAATTTTGATGATGGAAAATGAGAAATGAAGGACGATGTGAATATTGATTTGTTCGAATGAATTCTCTTCATCAATGAAAAGAAAGTCTGATAAAAATAACAGATATTTTTTTTACAATTAAACTCGTGGAGAATCGGTAATGATGGAGTGTAAACTATAAAAACGTTATTTTTATCTCTCCCTTCAATGAACTCCACTCGAGATTTTCCACAGCTGATCGCTGGTGTTTTTTTCGATATAAAAATGAACGCAAGAGAATATTTAACAATGCAGACAGTTGGCTGGGATAAACTCATGACCTTTCGCAACCTTAAAAACAAGAGTATCAGTGTATTATGGGTGAATTTAATGGGATGTTCTTTTTCTCAGTTATGATAATTGTTACCAGGGGGTGATATTGGCATTCGAGGGAGATAGCGAATTGACTGGGGTCCTTTGATCTTTTAAAGTTACTCATTTTCTATTTATTTCATTCGTAGAAAAGAAATGGAGGAAAAATAGTCAAGTCAGACGATATTATTCAATAGAATCGATTTACTTCTATTTTATCTTCAATTTTTCCATGCCCTGAGAGGACGGAAATAAACTGACTCGAATTTATAATAACTTTCGCGATAAGCTGGCTGTATCAAACGTGTTTACAGCTGGCTCAGTTGAGACGAAAAAGAAATTGTCGATCGAAGCAGAAGTGACCGACGGCGATTTGATAAAAATTTATCGATGTATGTCGTAAGATTTTCCGTCTCTTTCAAGAGATATCCATAAATAAATAAAAATGAGTGATGCTGCAGGATCTGGTAATTTAGTCGAGCAATTATGGATATTTCACGCCAATCGTCTGGAATTTTCTTACCAATTGAAGAGTGAAGGAGACATTCTCTAGGCCAGCTAGGAGATTAATTAATTGATGTGTTTTGTCAGCGTCTCGTACGAGGGCATGGGGAAAGTACTGCTTCTTCAGGGAGACTGTGTCCCTCAAAAAACATGCAAGATAACTCTCGAAACTTCCCTCACTCAGGGTGTGATACAGCCAGGCACGACCTAAGGGCAAAATTTCCAGGCCATTGGTGGTAATTAATTCATGAAATTAATTCGGGCTGTTTTGCCTGGGGTGTCACCTTTGCCAATCGATGTCAGGACACTCTGCAGGGCATGAATCACCACAATGGTGTCCTGGTGACTGAGTTCACGCACTGTACCCCAATATCCGTGTCTTTCCACTCGTAATCCGTGGCGGAGGGCACGATCCAGCCAATACACCAGCCAAGAATCACCGTCCAACACCACTGACCCATGCAGACTCTGGGCATATACCTAAAACCGTGGGACATTATTTTTTTTACGAGTTGTAAACAAAATTTTTTTCTTTCGGCGATAAGGAGCTGTTGTAACTGCTGTGAATCATTTTGTTAATTTTATCTGTTGATATAATTACTTGTATTTATTTATTAAGAATCCTCAATTAAAAACAAAAATATTTATTGCAAATTTGAATTATTAATTTTATTCCAAAGATTGATAACTAGTACTACAATTATATAACACTGAACAATTGTTTAAAGGTACAAATTTTAGTTCTCGTTTTTTAACGTTGGTCAATGTTTTGGAAATGATTGAAAGATTGAAATGAATGGTTAGGTATTTCCAAAGATTTACACAACTTCAATGCTGCGTTTATACATTACACAATTGGAAAAATGAACTTTTCAACATGTCATTATAAAAGAGGCAGTTGATAAATCATGTTTAAAATCGAACGATCGTTACAAAATTAACAGCGAAGCCCAATCTTGTTCCAAAACCTAATCAATTTCCTAATACCAAAAAAAGGACGCTGGAAAACCCCTAAAAAATCAATACCTTCAATTTCACGGAATACCTCACTAATTGAATTGCATGCGCAATTATCGGATATCGATACCAAATTTCAAAACCCAAAATCCATCTCTAAAAGACACTAACCCCGTGTCACTGAAAACCCCAACAATCTCCAACGAAGGAGTTCATTTAATCAATTTAACAACATAAAAGTGATTTCCAACACGTGTTGGAACCTGACCCAAAAACGAAACTCGATCGCAAAATGAAAATGACAAGAGAAAAATTTCATAACCCACGACTTCAGCCCAAAAATACGAAACAGGCGAGTTAAAGGTCCCAGGATACCCCCAATAATCTTCCAAAAATAGATTGACAGCCAGCTGATTGTCACCGCAGTCCTAAAAAAAAGAATGGAAAAAAAAAGGAAAAGAAAAACTGTTGATCGATGAATCACACAGCACGAGCTCAAATTCAAGACCCAAGATAAATGATAACTAAAACAATTCACAGCGATTAAAATTACGAACTAATTAAAAAAAACCACCTGGAAAATTATTCCCTGGATAACAAAGATAAAAAATAAACTCGGTGAAAGGGGAAAAATGATCTGGTGGTTATTTGGAATTGTGCGCTGCAGAATACCGAGTTCTTTCACTAATTTACACTCACTTTTGTGACGTATGACTGTTTGATTGTGTGATGTACATGAATACGGCCTTGACGACAAATACATTGAAGATATGAACTAATGTATGAGATACTCACCAATTTGACAGCTTTGGTGAGCTCCTGGAGGATTCTCCCCTTGGATAGGACTTTGTCCGTGCACATATCCATGTCCTCTCTCGACGGCATCTTCTCCACGATATTCACATTACTATCATCACGAAAATGTACTGATTTCAGCTGGATATTTGTTATTTTACACGAGTTTGACGGTAGAACGGGCACGTCCTGTCCCGACGGCGCCGCACTGCCACAGCTCGAGGGCCGGTGCATTGATTTTATGTGTGCGCAAGTCACCCGGGCAATTCAAAATATGTACAAGTGATATCGGTTGGATGGGAGTGCGAATAAGTCTGTTGGATTAATGGCATTGCACAGCAGTTTAAACGTGATCAGTGACGTTTGTTATTTGTGATAAACTTTTCATGAGAAACTCGACTTTATCGAGAAATTCAGTGACACGATTGCCACCCAGACGGAGCTTTCCTCTGGGGAGTCGTTGATCGTCATCCTCATCCACAATTTTTCCCATCGCATGGAAGTATTGTATTCGTCAATCCCTGAAGAACAGATCTGAAAATCTATATAACATATTTTGTTTTTCATTTCAAGTATCAGGGAGTGTCTTTCAAAGTTATTCCGTCCTTTCTTTTCTGAAAAATTCACAGTCAAAGGGTTTTTTTTTCCTGTCTCCATTTATGTTCACATGAAGTTGAGGTCAATGTAATAATGATGGGTGACCCGAGTAGAAATCAGCGATAATTGCACCGTATGTACAATTAGCGAAATATTCCGCGAAATTGGAGGCGTCGATTTTCGATCGGAATTGCGTTCCTTTTTCGGGAGCCCGAAATTGATGAGCTTCCGGAACAAGATTGCAGTTTGTTAATAATTTTTTATCCATTGTTCAACTTTTAAATGGTATTCCTCAAGAATTCTGTTTTTTTATTATTAATTTCAAAAATACCTAATTTCAATTAATGAAACCTTCAAAATTTCAATATTCGAAATGATAAACGACTGTTACATATTTTAAAATTCCATATTCAACGAAGGTGTAAAAATTAATTCTAAAATGATAGTTTGGAAATAAATCGATAATTCCCGCACGGAAAAGTGTACATAGGAGTAATTTTACCCTGACGTCCCGTAAATAAATTTTACATCTCATATAAATTTTCCATATAATTTCCCCATATAAATTTTATTTCCCAGTTTGTGGTTTCCGTGATGGTTAATAAAAAATTAGGTGAATATTTTAAATATAATAATTATTATATAATCATTATAGTTATAATTATAATTATGTTATATTATTTACCAAAAATTAATGATAAAGAAATGGGCTTATCTCATTTAACGATTTAGCTACTGAAATAATTTGCGCTGGTGATTTCTCGCAGAATCATTTGTTTCCGGCGAATGCACAATTAACAAAAGCGTCGGACGATTCAAGTCGTCCTGTTGAATGCCCCAGTCCGTAATCAACGCAGTCTCTCACCCCCGGATCTAAATGGCTTTTCCCCGTTTTTCTCCACTGACAAGGGAGTTAATTAATCGTGAACGCGTGCTACCACACGCGTCTTGACCTCGGGATAAATTACCGAAGATCATTACGGCTTTTTAGACGACGTGAACGAGGTGATTCATCTTCGGCTTCGATCGAATCCCATGAATCGAGTTTCACGGTGCATTTTTGTTTTTATCCGGAAATGTCACAGCTGATTTTCAGAAGGAGGTATGAAACATAAAAAATCGAGAATTCAAGGGTGAGGGGCTGTTTCCGGTAAGAAAATTCTCTGATCTATTTTAAATAATTTGAATTTTGGATAATTTTTTTATTAGAGAGATAAGCGGAGAGAATTTTTTGGGAAACGATCTGATATTTGAAAAGGGATGCAGTGATGGCTAGGAAAAGCTGTTAGTTTTATGTAATTCGAATTTTTTCTGAAGGAAATTTTATCCGGAAATGTCACAGCTGATTTTCACATGGAGTATTTCAGGTAACGAAATTCTGGAATATATATATTTTTTTATTTGAATTTTAGAAAAATATTTTTTGCAGTTCTGGCGACTGGCTTGCTGAATTATAGATTTTCACTATTGAAATTTGGTAAAATTTTCATCCTAAGAGCAATTAAAATTCAGGTCATTGATCACTAATATTTCAAAAATATAATTCTAAATATAAAAATAATAAATAATGGAAAATATCAGTGAATTTCCCCTGACAAACAAAATTATGCTCCCACCTCCAAGAATATTGTCACAGCAAACTAGTTTCAGAATCCCTTAATCTCAATTTCCCACTCATTCAATTCAAAACCGACGTACCCCTCAAAATTCCTAATCCCCGAGAACTAAACCCTTTCAATCTCACATCCAATCCAATCCAAGAATTCCCCAGTGATTCCACCTGTCAGGTACCAAAAACAAAAATCCCTGAATTAACCTGCGATTACCATCCGTCGATAAAAAAAAGACGAAAAAAAAAAGATCCATTCAAATAACACCCGCCAAATTGATTGACGAATATGATGACGAATATCTGTCGTGTCGCAAATGCCGTGTGCCGTGAATTAATTGAATTAATGGTTTTTCATCTCGAAATAATAGAAAAACTAATGAAGAGAGATTGAAGCGCGATAACGCAGTATCCAATAATTGAAATTCTTGAAAAAATGGGGAAAGTATAAAACTCATTTCCCAGTGGGGCAAAAGCCCCACAATTGGTCCTGATACCACAGGATTGTTACCCTGGCCACGACCAGAACGGTATGACCCACATCAATAGATGAGCAAGTTTAATATAAGTTGCTATATATTTATTCCCCTTTTCATGCTATTATACCCAGAGAAACTGTTTCACGATACTCTTGGGTAGAGTGACCGCGTACACTCTCAACAGTTTATAATATCTCGCTGCCGGGTACATGATTAACTCCATTAACAACGCTCAAAGCATGAAGCCAGTTACAGTTACAGTACACTACATACAACTCAAAGATCGGTGATCGCCTCGAGACAATTCATCCAACACCCATGTATTAATTTTTAGTTTTTTTTTTTCTTTTTCAAATTCACACTCAACTCATCTAACCACCAATATTTATTCTTTTGACACGTAAAACACTCGTTTTTTCTCGTTAAACTGTAAATTGGTCTCATGCTCTGTTATTTGCCGTTGCATGTACAACATTTTTGCGCTCTTTTTGTTTTTACATTCATTTTCAACTCAAGCCCCATTTACCCTAAAAAGACGGTGAGACGTCACGTTCTAGTGCATGGTAAGTGCGACAATTTGTCTCGTTCTGACGTTTTATTACACTAATTGCCGACTGAGAATGTATATCTTGGTAAATTGAGGGATGTATTGGGTTTAAGGTGTTATTGCTGACATCTTATTTTTCATGATTTTTATATATTTTTCAGAATCTCTGGAGCAGATTGACGTGAAAAAATATATCGTTTTTTCACTTTTATCATTATTCAATGACCCACAAATGTTTAGTGTCTTGCGTATATTTTTGATGAATTTTTGGTAAAGTTTTGGAAATTTTTGCGAAAGTTTGGAAACGTGGGAAATATAGTTCTGCATTGAATAATAATAATTCAACTCATTCAGTCAATGTTATTAACCTTTTCGTAAAAATTCGTAAAAAACATGAATAATGAGATCTCCGTAATAATTTTTAAATTGAAAATTCCGAACAATTTTCGTAAAAATGGGATGCTAAATATGCAAAAAATATCGAAAGACTTTTTTAGGGAAAATTCAATCAACAAATAGAAAAAGTAATCTGATATTTTTACGTTAAATCGATAGTAATGAGTCGCTGAAGCTCGTAATTTCTTCACCTTCACTCCCCGTTGGATTAAATATGAAATAAGAAATTCATTATTCGTAATAGAACTCGTGTTTACAGCTGAAATTATCCGTAATCGTGCAATTATTGGAAAAACAATAATGGATCTATTAACGTTATCATTCGGTTAAATCTCATAGCTCCTTTAAATCATTAAATTCTCTAATTTCGCAGCTCTGCAGATTTTGCTTTTTTTCAAGCTCAATTGAATGGAATTCAAATTAAATGCAATTGAATTTCAGACAAATATTGGTGTTTATTCAAATCCAATGAAACGACTCATCTGGAATGAATACATAATTTACTTGATTTGAATAAATAATTTCCTCGAATTAAATAGGGGGTTTTAAATAAATTCATTAATTTGATTTACGTTTCTCCGTTATTAAACTATCGATAAAATTTGTTTAATTTTTCGTAATAGTAACATGCAAATTTTCAGATAATTCTTTTGTGTTAGTGAACAAGTTTATAGATTCAAAAGAATTGGATTTCTGATTCTAGAAAACTTAGTCTGGATTGAAGCAAAAGTTTTTTTGAATCTCAAAACTTCTGTTCCTGTATTGAAATTTTTTTTAACATTGAGAAACTTTTTCTCTGCAAAACTTTCTGTTGATATTGAATTCTAAATAAAAATCAGTTTCTTATACTGAACGATCATTAATATTTGAAAAACAGTTTGAATTTTAAACTCGATTATGAACACTAGAGATTAAATTACGAAAAACTAATTTTTGTGGTTTAACGGGTTTTACGCAATAATTATTCTTCTCTATTTATCTTTTTTTATCATTTCTGGTCGTAATAGCATCAATATACAGACATTTTTTATTAATCTTCAAAATATATCAGGCACGTTTTCACATTGGGGAACACCTGATAGAACAAAAGACAGAAATATAATGTTCACCCGATTCCACTGCATTCCTCGGCACTTGTTGTTGACAATTCGCAGGTGCCTCTTGATAACAAGTAAGAATTACTGATACCCCAAAAACAATTTAAATTTTAATCTTCATTATGAATACTGAAAGTTAAATTACGGATCAGTAATTCTTTTCGTGTTGTTTTTGTTGTGAATTTATCAAAATAATCACGCCACGTTTCAAAACAAGAAAAATATAATGTTTGCGAGATTCCACTGTATTTTTGTTGTTCCCAGTTCACAGGTGTCTCTTGCCAATGTCAATAGATTGAAAGAAGTGGAAACGTGAGTATCAAAAATTTTGTGCAAGTAAAAATAGAGTGATATTTACCTCAATATTTTTTAGTTTTTCCTCATTTATTAAGAAGAAAATCCTGAAATTTCTGATTTCACTGAAAATTCATTTGATTTTCAAATGAATTTTCAAATGAAATTTGTTTGCATTTGTCTTGTAAAATTTTATCGAGAAATTTGAAAGTGTAAAATTGAACTATCGGAGTACATATGGGGAATTCCCTTTGAAATCTCCAATCGCCCGATATTTTTTATTCCACGGGGC